CCGCACCCACACGGCGCTGCGAGGCGGCCCCCGCCACTCCCGGCGTCCCGACAGGGGGCGGCGCCCCCGCGTGCCCGCTGGTCCTGGCGGACAAGAGCCCGCCTGGCCTGAAGGGCAAGGAGCCCGTGGTGTACCCCTGGATGAAGAAGATCCATGTCAGCGCCGGTACGTGGCGCCGCTGGGGAGGCGCGGGAGGGTGGGCTGGGGCCTGGCCCGAGTTCGAGGGTCGGGGCGGGGGGTCAGGAGGGAGAGGCCTGGGGGGGGGAAAGGAGGCCCCGGGAGGGGAGCCCCCATCTGGCCGGGACTGCTGTGGGACGTGGGTGTGTGCGCGTCAGCTAGCAGCCTAATCCCAACGTGAGAACCCTTTTGTACCCAGGGTCCCTTTATCGGGAGATTTACGAGACGCCAAACTGTTAGGGCAGTAATTATAGCCCCCATAAATTTAATTGCCCTGGCAGAGGCTTCGGGCCATGTGTCTTTGAAGCTTTTCTTCAGCCCCAGTGCCCAGCACCATTCTTTATGGCTCTCGGGTGTTTCCCGTTGTCAATAGCCTGTGAAACATTTTCTTTGCCGTTTTATGTATCTTGCGTGAACTTGGTGTCAGGTTATTATATAATGATGATCTCCAATTGCTCTTCCCCACCCTGTCCTCTTTCCTCCTCCTTTTTCCTCTCTCTCTCACTCCTTCCCTCATGGCCTTTTCCTTCGGGGGTTCTGGGCATCCAGTGAACCCCAGTTATAACGGAGGAGAGCCCAAGCGCTCTCGAACCGCCTACACCCGACAGCAGGTCTTGGAGCTGGAGAAGGAATTCCACTTTAACCGCTACCTGACCCGGCGCCGCCGCATCGAGATCGCCCACACACTCTGCTTGTCCGAGCGCCAGGTCAAGATTTGGTTTCAGAACCGGAGGATGAAGTGGAAGAAAGATCACAAACTGCCCAACACCAAGATGCGATCCTCCAATCCAGCCTCGGCCTCTGCTGGCCCGCTAGGGAAAGCACAAACTCAGAGCCCTCACCCTCATCTCCACCCCCTCCCTGGAGCCTCCACACCTATTCCCTCCTCCATATAATCTTTTAGAGATCCAGATCAGTTTCTACCCTTACCTGCTCTTCTCCCTTCTTTTCCCCATTCACCTGATCCCATCTGGATCTCACAGACACCAAACCAAAACCCAATTTGGTGAAAATGATAACCAAAAAAAAAAAAAAAAAACATCATCCCCAGTAAGAGTGTGTGCTGCTTACCACCCAAGCAAGGACCGTTGTCCAGGAAGCTGTTAGGTGGAACAATCTGGGAGCCTGACCAGGCTGCTAGGTTTAAATACTTGAGAAGAACCAGTTGCCATGAAATACTTTTGAGATGTCTGAAGTCAGCTGGACAGCGCAGCATGCTGACTGGGGACATATATATGTGTAGATGTTGCAAGCAAAAGGAAAGAGACCCTTACCCATGTTCCTTACCTCCCCAACTTACATTAAGACAGCTCATACCAGCTTATATTGAACTGAATAAATGAGTAGATATGGTGGACCTCAAAAGATTATTTAATTCTCAAAATGTGTAGTCCTTGATGGTAGATGTGACATGTTAGTTTCCCTTCCTTGCATTTATTTAAGATATTGTTATAGAGATATTGTTCTTATTCTGGGGCACAATCTCGGGGAGAGGGGGATGCATTTAGACCCATGTGTGACTGTACAAAGTGTGATATGGCTGTATAAAAGCCATGCGACAAGAATAAACTTCATTAAAAAAACATTAAAAATTGAAGAGACAGATTTGTGTGTTTCCTAAGCTTTTCATTTAAAAAAACAACACAAAAATCCTCTGGATTGAAATGTTTGACCTTGCATATAGAAAGAATTGTAGATGGCGTTCAGTTGTGTTCACATGGATTCTGACTGCTCTTATAATTCGTGTGTGTGTGTGTGTGTGTGTGTATGTGTTCAACTTGAACTGAACTCTTGTCAAGCTTGACTGCTATGGAAATGTTCCAAAGAGCAGGAAGGCTCTTCAGCCCTGAGAGGGCTCCTCTTCTTCCCAAACTTGGCTGGGCTTTCAGGCTTCTAGTCTCTGTAAGGCAGAGAAACGTGTCTTTCCCTGCAATGAAAGGTGAAACCATGCAGAGCGATGGGCCCAGGAGTTTCTGCAGCTGTTCTGCACACTGAACTCTGAACATACTTGGAAAGGAGTATTCCCTTAGGTATTTGTTGCACCTTCTCACTTAAGTGTGGCCTGTTTCCCTGGAGATTAAAAAACAAAAGTTGTGCAAAGGGTTAAGACTGCTTTTTGTTTTCTTGGCTGATCTTTAGGCACTCTTTACTAAGTACAGCTTGGGATTTTTTTTGTTTGCTTGTTTCTTTGAGGGGAAAAAGAGTTTCAAAGTAAAGTGAATTTTCTCAGTATACCCTCCAAACTAACTTCAGAAGAAATAAAATGTGCAAAAACACCCCAAAATATACCCCAAGGAAAGGAGACCTGGAAGAGTTCACTGCTGGAAGAAAGCCAAATTGAACAAGGGTCACTTTCCTCAAATGCTTTGGGATCTTTCTATTCTCAGAGATAAAAACTCCAAAGACTAAAAATTAAAATTCCCTTTCCAATCTCCATAATCCAGGTATTTGCATGCTGATTTAAACTGGATGTTCAGGCAGGGAGTGCCCTGCAATGTGATCCACAAAAACAATGCACCCTAGCCAGATGCACAAGTGGCAGAATATTAGTACTGTCCCTTGGCCTTGAAAACGTTCAGCCTCCCTCTGTACACTATTTTTATAATTAAAAACATATATATATATATATATATAAGAAAAGGTGCAGCTTTTAGGTCATGTAGCCATTGTAACAGAAGGAAGGGACTTTTCACCTACTTCTGCAATATCAGAAAAATTTGAATAGCCCTTTTTAAAATCATTGACAAATGCTTCGCTGATGGTAGTATCCTTTTCACTCCTCTGACACTGTGTGTGTGTGACACAGGAAGGGTGATCATTCTGTACCTACAAACAAACCACAGTAAGAAGTGGTAGGTACCAATCTCTAAAGGACCCAGAGAATTCAGGGACAAATGTATACAGGCACATTTTCCCAAGTCAGGAAAAACCTGGCATACAGTGAATTTTATAAGGTGTGAAAGGGTGCCAGGCATTTCTGGAGGCAATGCAACTGCTGCTTAAACTTATTAACCCTCCCCCTACTACATGCACTTGTAAAACGAAATTAAATCACGCTGAAAATAGCAATTTTCCCAGGAATCATTAATCACCTCATACAATAAATACTTCTTTGTAATTCAACAGCAATTCTGAAAGGCATTCTCTGGGAAAAGTCTGTGGAGGAGAGAGGGATCTTCTTGCAAATCATGCGGTCTCAGGCAAAGACTCAGCATCTTGACTATCTGCTCAAAAATAAAATACCTACACTCTCAATGGAGATTGATTGTCAAGCTGCAAAATCTCAAATGGCAGATTACCACCCTTTAAGGTAAATTTCTTATATTTCTCCTTTGTGGGGAGGGGAGGATGTGGGACATTCATTAGCTCCATGCTGGAGACAGGGGTAGGGAGGTAAAGAGGATGTCTTTCACTTGTCTGGCCAGAAAAGGAAGAGAGAGGGTTGAGATCATTCTTTCTTGACATTTCAGGACAAAATAGTATTTTTTGTATCAATTATTAGGTTATTGAAAAACCCTCAAAATGCTCAGATAATTATGTCATTTCTTCACAGTGGGTTTTTGTCTGTTTCAGATTTGGCCTTTAAGGAAGCTTTCTCTAACAGCTTAGAAAAATCTCACTTTGTGCTCCAAAATTGTGCATTGTCTGCCCTTTGCTAGGGCAACCATAAGAGTTCACTGAAAGGACAAATTTTCTATCTCATTAATTGTTTTTCTTTTTTAAGCAAACGCTACTAGCCCCTCAAACCCTTGACCTTTAAAGACAGTATTTTGTGTAAGCACCATAATTCTACTAAAGTGACCCTTATACATACGCTCCCGTTCCCTCCCTCTTCCTCCTCCCTCCCTTCAATACACACTCATCCTCCTTTAGTCACAGAGCCAAGCTGTGCATGACTCCGGAGATAAAAGTTTTGTCAACATCTGAAATCAACTTAAATCGGATAGGAGACACTTTAATGGTCACAGTTTGAATTAAGTACTTAACACTCTCCCCCTTGAAGAAAAATGGCACTTTGCAGGCTTTCTTTCCTAGTTTTGCTGAAATCTACGATATACCCGGTGTTTTATTACAGCAGGAATTCAACTGTGACAGGCATAGTAGAGTACTTAATACCCAGGATGGAGCTCTGGGGAAGATTACCTAGATATATTAGGATAGGCCCTCTGCACAGAGTCTCTGCCTTATACTCAGCTTTTCCAGAGCACCCCACGTCCTTCACTCTTACTCTGCTCCCTATGGGGTGTGTGTTACCATCTTCTCTTGGGTCCCCCTGTTCCCCTGAGCTTCCTGAACTCCACTGCTCTTCTCATAGCTGCTTTCCTTCTAATGGTGCCAACATAGAAACACAACAATAGCCCTTTTGAATGAATGAAATGGAAAATAAATGCAGCAAACAAAACCTAGGGACTCCTATCAAAATGAGTGGCTTCTGTGCAGACAATAAGCCATCCTTGATACTTCCTTGGTCTCTGCATTCCAGGGCACGGTCCTGAAGTGAAGAACTCAGGCTCACTTTTCATATGTGCTACTCCTGGTGCTCCTCTATATTATTACCAAAAAGGGGTTCAAGAATACTGTTTGGCACCCCTGAGAGTTATGAGCTGGAAACAATAGGAAGAGGAAGAAGTGATACCTGTTCTGTCTCCTAGATAGTATTAGTGAAGTGGCTCGGGCTATCATGGATCTTTTAGTCTGCAGTTTCTGGCTTGGGAATCTAACATTTCTTTTGAAGGCTCTAAACTCATGAAGAGCTGCCTGCTCAACCCCTCTCCCCTGCTACCACTACCAGCTCCATTCTCTCTAGAATCAATTTCTGGAGCTGAAAGACAGTCCTAGATTGAAAGATTATTCAAGGAGAAAGAGACATGGAGGACATTTTGGTTTAGTTTTCCCAGCCAACAGATAAGAAAACTGAAGCAGCTAAATGGCTCTCCCCCAAAATGTTCCTTGGGCTAGTTGGCTTGTAGGTTGGGTAGAGCATTTCATTTGATTTCACCCTTTACCTTTGGGGTAAACATGTGGGCATCTACTTTCTGCAGAAGATACTCTTTAGAAATAGAAACAGACATCTAAGCTTGTACTTGATGTGCTGGGCCACAGGTGTGTGTAGCCTGGAAGAAGGGTGGGTTTTACCTGTTAATTGTCAATGCTGCCCTGGGAGATTAGGTAACCTGAACTACTCTAATCTTGGCATTCAGACAGGTGGGCCAACCACTGTGCTCAGGAAGGGATAGAAACCTGGATGCTTCAGAGATGCCTCTCCACTGTCCACAGTGCTGATAGCCCAGAATGACTAATCCTGTTGTGCTGGTCCCGGTATTTCCATGGTGGATACTTGTCCCATCAGGTCAAGGGTGAATAGGTTCTCTAGGCCTGGGGAACAAAAAACTCAAACAAGGACCCTGGTTGCTTCTGATAAACGGTGTAATGCCTGTTCAGGGGAGATATTGAAATTGTGATCTTCGAGGTCACATGACTCATTAAATAATTAATGCAGATTGTCAGGAACGGATGGAGTCAGCAGGGCCTCACTAGGAATGAATCTCTCAGAAGTGAGACTCCAACTTCCTATTTGATTTTTAAACACGCACACCATCAGGCTTTTAACTTCTTCCGGAAGGCAGAAAAGAGCCCTTTGGCTGGGAGAACCAAGCTGGCTGGCCCGTGCTGGGTCCTGGGGCTCTTCCCGCAGGGTTTCTGGGTGTCCGGGGAGCACGCACACGCTGCACCGGGGGAAACGTGAGTTCGGGCTTGGGCTTTTTTGTGGTCACATCCTGGCTTTGGTGATGAAGTGGGAAGGATGCACAGACAATTGGTAATGTTCTGATTCACGCTGGGGAAGGCTGCAGAGATACCACAGGACGGGCGCGCGGCTTTGTTCATTTTTCCCGGCGTTCATAAATCACCCAAGATGGGAGAGCGAGAAAGCCGCGGACGCCAGAAAACGCGAAGAGAGGCCACAGCAGCAGCCGCGGCCATTGCAGCGCGAGAGACCTGGGCACCAACTCTCTGTGACTCATTAGTCTGAAGGATTTATGGGAAACAGCAGCCGTGAATACTAGACTTGGGGATAAGGAAATAGCAGCAATAATAATAACCATAATAATTACAGTACTCCTAAGCTTCCAATGGGGTGATGGTGGTAGTGGATGGTAGCAAAGCAAATCTTTCCGGGGAGAAATTGAGTAGCAAAGTGCAAGATGACTATGCCCCACCCTTCTTAGAGTCTGGCCAAGAGACCCAAGGCCAAGGGGCACTCCCCTAGAGGATATAAGAGGATTAGTTTGAATAGGGGCCCAGTGTGTTTCTGAGTTCCAAAGGCTGGGTGGAGGGTAAAGGCTATGGGTCTGTTGTGGAAGAAGATAACTGCCGGTTTGTTGCCACTTGTTCAGCATGCTAGGAGGCTCCCAAGCCAGGAGTTAGGGGACTCAGAAATGCGGTAGGACTTCCCTGAGTGATGGGCAGGATTATATGGGCTCAGGACAGACAGCAGGTTGGGGGTTACCTAGGTCTGGGTGTGGGAAGAATGGGTTCAAGGTTGGGAGTGTAGCAGGAAAGGGCACCTTTCTTGTACAGTCAGAGCACAACCAAGCTAGGGCCCAGTGCTCACTGGGGAAAGATTCTCAGATCCTTCAGAAGCATGTCCTGCCCCCAGAAAGCTGACTGGGGACCCCATGATGATTTATTGGTTTGAGGGTAAGTGCAGATGGCAAATATTGTGAGGTATGAGATTGCAGAAGAATTGGGATGGGGTGTGGGTTTATGGCCACTGCAGCAAGGCAGGGCAGAAGGAGGCCTTCTGATGAGTGTTGTCCAGGAACCTGACTCTGCCCAGTTTCCAGCAGCAGTAGTTGAGCCTGTTGGGGGGACCAGGCATTGCGCTAGTCCTGCTGGTCCACCTGAAGTGACTTGCTTAGTGTTTGAATGAACCAAAGTACAAAACCTCCCAAGACTGCTCCGTTCTGTGGACTGAACCCGGGTCTGATTTCGCGCCAACAGAAATGAAGCTATTAGTGAGGTTTCCCGTGATTGAATGCTTCCAGACAAGGCTTCCCTTTGTTAGCAAAAGAAAATAAAGCATGCATTCACAGTCCCAAGTTGGGGTGCCTGAGGAGCTCTCCCAATGGAATCCTCACCAGTAGCAAAGCCTCTTCCACCTTATCTTCATGCTTCGTCTATCTCCCTCCTTCCCCACCCCCCCTCAAAAAAAGAAAGAAAAAGGAGAGAGTGGATGCGGAGATGGAGTATGTATTTATTTTACAAAAATAAATCACCATCTTCAGGCCATTTGTAGACTGGAACATTTTGAGTTATAAGTATGTCACATGGACCAGTGCCCTGGTGACTCCTTCCGTGTCCCTGTCACCCCCAGGGCCACCTTGGCGCCTGAGCAGGCCACAATTCCAACTCTGCTCTTCCAACTCCCTTCCTTCACCTTCTGCTGTTTATTTGTCTACAGAGCGCCAGGACACCGGAAAAGATGGCCCCTTGAGCGCCTGGAGTTGGAGACCTTCCCTGGTGCTGGTTCCGATTTAAACATCTTTGGAGGTAAGTGCTGTGCCAAAACTCTTTTGGGGATGTGGGAAGCGGCAGCGTGGGGCAGTGGGGAGGAGTTTACTCTTCCCAGCTCCAGGCAACCACAGTGGGTTGAAAGAGCTTCTGGTCAATATTTAACTTCCAAAGAGTTTCTGAGCTGATTCTTTTCAGTGGCGAGCCTCACGGAGGCAATACAGGGCTTCAAGCAGACAAAGAGTCAATCTACCCCAAAGCTAGCTGTAGGCTGGAGAAGCAGTTACAGAAGCCCAAGATGGAATGTGGGGTGCCAGAGGGGATGTGTTTGTTTCTTCCATCAAGCCCCAAGCTAACCAAAGCACCAACCTGAGTAGCACTGGACAAGTAGAGGCCACAGCACGGCAGCTGCTCCTGCTGCTGCGTGGGCTGCTGCTCTGGTCTGTTGGGGTTATTGAGAAGGCTGTGGGTTCAGAAATTAGCCCAGCTCTTAGTTGAAGAAACGTGTCTCACCGCTTTGCATTTCCTCCAATTCTTTTGCATTTTCTTGGCATGAGGGGAATTGCTGTCTTTTGGGTGTGGAAGCCCTTCATAGGCAGCGGGTCCTTTTCAATCTCTCTTCTGGGCTCATCCATGGTTTTTCCTCCAGGAAAAGCTCAAGTCTTCTAGGTCTCAATGTTTTCATTTCCTATTTGGAACAAGGGAAAACTTAAAATTTCTTTTCAAGTTGTGGTTAATTTGCTCTCTTAGTTTGGGATGCAGAGAGGTAATTACTCTGGTTTATTACCTTGTAAAAGATCCATAAATTACATGCTTATTTGGGGGAGGGGCTGCTGGAATTAGCTTTCAGAAGCTGGTATGTAGGAATGAGTTTTCTTTGTTCTTTGGGGAATTACTTTGTTTAGCAAAGTTTTGAGACTTTATTTTCTATTTCTTAGGTCCAATCTTCACTAAACCTTGCCCCTTAGATAGATATCAGATTGTTAATTAAGTCAGCATGCTCTTCAGTGGTGCTGTAAAGGCTGGAAGGATATTTCAGATATTATATCATCAGACAAAAAGTAAACAGTAATAGTAACCAGGTGACTTTTTCAGCTACTGTATGTCTGTTTATAGCAAACAGAGATGAAACATTCAGTAGTTTACTACTTAAGAGCCTCAAGAGCGTATACATGATTTGCATCTCTGCAAACAGTAGAACAATTGCAGATATAAACAGCTACAGGACTTTGGAGCCATGTGTATAGCATGGTATACACATCCACATGTGTCCAGAGAACTTGGAGCCCATCCATTTCTACTGCAGAAGTACCCACAGGGAATATCTCTAAATAATGATCTATTAAACAGAGAAAGAGAGGGAGAGAGGAAGGGAGGGAGGGAAGGAGGGAAGGGGAGAGAGAAAGAGAGAGAGAATGAGAATGGACTGAGAGGCTTACCTGATGCTGAGCAGAAAAACTACCAGAACTAACAAAAATGTTAAGTGTAGTTTTGATTAAGAAGTCAGATTGCAGTGTTTGAGGACAGATATATCTAATCTGCCAACAACTTTGCAAATATTGGCTAAAGGCCTGTCTCCTTAGTCCCTTGCTCCTTCCAAGGTAAATTCCCCTCTTTGGGCTCTGGTGGTTTCCAGCCTTGGCCAAGTTAGAGGCTGGTGGGGGTAAATGTGGAGGGGCTGGTGTCTTTGGTGCCTGTGGTTTTAAAAGGCTTATAGCTTTGCTTCAGGAAGGTGGAATTTAGAGTGGTGAAGGAGGAATCTCAGCTGCTGGGTCTCTGGGTAGGCTACTCTAAGATGAAGTATTTTCAGCTTAAAAGTTAAATCTCCTTTGGACTTCCTCAGATTTTCCCCCTTCTCATCCTACCAAACACACCATCTTGAATGTTAATTGTTAAACAGCTATTGGAGCATGCAGTGGGATGTTAGCCTGCCTGGGGCTCCTCAGAAGAGATGAAATGCCTCTGGGCCTTGCACATCTCTGAAGCAGTACAAAAGATTTCAACCATTGACTTATGTTCTCAAGAGTTTTAAGTTTGCTCCAATTTATACTAGGAGTTCTGAAGAGAGCTGTGAAAACTCCCTCCCTGGTGAGAAGGGTGGGCAACTCTTCCAGGTCCTTTTCTAGGGCATCTAGAGAGCTAGATGTGAATGATAGGGGAATACAAGGGGTAAAGATCAGAAAAATGAGAGGATGACTCCTTGGGGGTCAAGAGAATGTAGTTTGGAAATCAGTCTTTGGGCCTTTCCCATCTTCCAAGCATGACACAGGCAGGTTTCCACTTTGGACCCTCACTTACCAGTGTCTTAGGTCAGAGCTGGGCAAGTTCACATAGAGGCCTTTCCCAGGTACACCTCAGACAGACTTATAGGAAGAGTGCTACCAACTTAGGCCAGGGCTTATTCTCAAGCGATTAGATCCCCCCTTTTATTGCTCTTCTGATTTGGACATACCTACCCTATGACCAGGCCTCTTACTTAGAACCTTGCATTCTCTTCAGACTCCAACTCCTCCTTTTAGGGAGGAGGAGAGGAGAAGATTCCTCCACAGCCTACTGAAGCTACCACAAGTGAGTCTTCACATTCAGACATAGCCAGCTGATGTCTTACTCTCAAGAAGCAGAAGAATATAGCATGAGTTGCTTATGGGCTTCAGAGCAAAGTCTAGAATCTAAGACCAGAAAAAAGGAACTTTTTGGATAACTCATGAAAGAGTGAAATACTGAAATAAAGGACACTTGTCACCAAGCAGAAGGCAAAAGTAGAGGTAAAGAGTTGGAGGACAGATAAGTTTCTTTCTGAGCAGAATTGATTTAATTCTGCAGGTAAACACAGAGTTGTCTTAGGGGAGGGTATACAGAGGGAATCTCAAATTGACTGGTAGATTATCAGGAGACACCAATAAGGTTGAGACTTTCCTTCTCTCTTATATAGACAATTACATAATTTCCCCTTATGTTTTAATCTTTAGAAGCCTATAATTTCATGCATCACTCAGCTATGTACTAGGGAAATGCATTATTACTATTTTGGCTAGGATGTTAGGTCACTTTGGATTTTGCAAAAATCTATATATTTATATTAAAAACATCTTTCCTAGTGGGCTCTCACTGAACAAGACCAACTGATGTTGAATTAGAAGTTTTAATGTTTTAACCGGTAATAATAAAGCTTTTGGTTTTTTCCATAGCTGGGTCCTATGATATGGATGTTAGCATTTGCAGTCCATGAACAAGTCCTCTGACCAGGCCAAATCATTTCTGGGCTTTGCTTTTGCCTTTTGATATACTGGCCTGTGGGACAGAGGAGACTGTGGAGCCTGGGTGTGCTGGATTCAGCTTGTTGGTGCGTGGGAAGCCCTAAGTAAAGTTAAGTGAACTCTAAGAATACAGACAGGATTGCTATAGTAATGTGTGCAAAGAAATGTGAGATAAGCAGCCTGTGTGTATGGTATGCATGGGGGGAGGTGGCCCCCAAGAGTCCTGCTATTAAGACAGAACTCTTACTGGCTACTGGTCAAGGTCCCCCCACCCCCTACACACACACTTCCCCTCCTCCAAAGCAGAATGTTCTGCTTGGAAAACTAGTTCCTTCATGGTTCCCTATTTCAAATAAAAGGATTTAAGTTGACGTATGACCACGTGAGCACATAATACAGCACATTATTGTGGCGTTTGGAGCGGAGACCCAGGCAGTCTTTGCCTGTGATTACGTTTTCTAGATTCTCTACAGAGTGAGAGCTTTCTCCCCCACCCCCACACACCCACCTCCTCCTTCTCCTTCTCCGGAGAGTGCTCTTCCAGCGGTTGCAGTTTTCAGCGCTCATGGAGCGGTTCTGGGCAAGCTAGCCGATGGGACTCGAAGCCACACCAGGAGGATGGAATTTATTTTAAGGTATTTCCGCTGATTGTTCATATCTAAGAGTGAGTTATGGCTATGAAAGACAAAGGTCAGGCGAGGAGACCCTGGATCGCGGACAGGACCCTCAGTCTCTCTTCCTTTGTTTCTCTTTTAGAACCGAAACCATTTGAATGATTCCTAGTAGTGCCTTGGATTCAAAGTTTAATTCCCTGGAAAGTGTTGGGGGTTATAAAGGAGAGTTCACTTGTGGGGGAGAGCTACTAGGTGGGCCTGTGAGTCCCCAGAGATGGGGTCGCTTTGTTCACTGCTGCGGGAAGGGCTATAGTCCCAGGAGCTGAGCCAGGGGCAGAGGGACCGACAGTCCTGAAGCTCTGGCACTAGAGGCTAGGTGGCCCGGTAGAGATCTTAGGGAAGGGCTGGAGGCTGAGAAGGGGAATCTCTCCTGGGTGGGTGGTGTTTGCGGAACAGGATGAAGGGCTAGGGCTGACCCTGGCAGCCTCACAGATGGAAGAGGAAAATCGATGGGGGAAATGTGCAGATGCGCTGCCATTTTATTGATGATGCTTCCAGCCACTTTGTTTCGTGCTGCGTTGCGGGCACTGTTTTTCCCACATGCCAGACTCAAGGATCCACCCCCAGAGAGTGAGCCATTGTTTCTCTGAGCACCTTCTGCCTTGGGAGAAATGAGAAGGGCAGCTCAGACCTAAGAGAAGCTTGGGCAGAGAGCACAGGTCACCTGGAGACTGGCTTATTCTCATATTCATATGCTTATATTCAAAAGGGAGCCTGGCGATGGGTTTGGGCTCCAGTAGTGTGCTCAGTTGTACTTCCCCAGGCCAGTTTGGAGAGTTCAAGAACTGGTTGGTGAGCCCTGCTTTGGAGGGAAGCATGGAGTCAAGAGAGCTGGGGAAGGCGAGGTAGATATTGCTCTGGTTCTGGTGCTCCAGGAATGGAGCCATAGCCAGGATGGAGGAGAATGAGAGTTAAATTGTGGGCTTCCAACATACTGGGGAATCTGGGGCTAATTGGGCTTTGGGGATCCTGCACTCCTGGGAACAGTGGGAACTCTTTGAAAGGTGGAATAATTTTTCTTCCCTCTGCTCCATCTACCAAGGATGAATGCCTATGAGTTTCTAAAAATCAATTTGCCCCTTTGGCTTAAAAAAAATCCTTTATACTT